TTGTCCACTAAGACTCCAAGATCCCTCTCACAGTTACTGCTATTGAGACTGGTTTCACCCAGTCTATATGTGTACTTTTGGTTTTTCTTGCCTAAGTGTAGGACTTTACTTTTCTCTACACTGAATTTCATTTTGTTAGATATGGCCCAGTGTTCTAGTCTATCAAGATCCAACTGGATCTTGAGCCTATCTTCTTGAGTGTTAGCTATTCCTGCCAGCTTAGTATCATCTGCAAATTTGGTAAGTTCCCCTTCTATTCCCTCATCTAAGTCGTTAATGAAGCTATTGAAGAGTTCTGGGCCTAAGACAGAACCCTGTGGCACCCCATTGCTTACTTCCCTCCATGTAGTTTAGACCTATTAAGCCAGGTTTTTAGCTTCAACACTTTAAAGAGCTGGTGAAGAGCTCTGTGATTAATTATCTTTCAAAGATAGAATTAACAGATGGAATTAGCTAAATTATTGGAAGATTAAATGGATTCTATTTACAACTGATGAAAGAAAAAGAGTCTTGCTTGTAAAAAAGTTGACTATTGGTCTCCTATACTATTGGAAAATTTCAGTATTAGTATTAAATCTTATAGAATGATCACATACATCAATGAAACAGCTTTAATTAAAAGACAGACTTCTTCCAGCATTCTCCAGCAGATGTCATCATGAGACAGCAGAATGTGATTAAAAATGTCATGGTAAAATAAAACAAGTATTGTAGGTTTTTTTAGGCACGTCAAAACAAATCATAAGACAGAAGGCAATGCTTAAAAAGGCTGTATTTTTATTCTTCAACATAAAGTCAGAAACAGTATAAACAGCAAAAAATACTAAACATCAATGCAAACAAAAATAATTTGTTCTAAAATAGGTATTCACAGTACTTTTCTGTACATAAGCTTTTCTCAAACATCAGGTAAGCCAAGGAAGATATCCCATATTGCAGTGCAGCACTTGAAAGCTTTAAATGAGATGTATGCTTAAAAATGACAGGATAACCTTCTATCCTTGCCAGACTGAAAAAAACCAAAGAAACCCAAATGGGTCTGGTATCACATGTGACACTGCAATTTCCTAATGGCAAGGATATTCAAAAAATGCTAGTTAAATAAAATGAGCATTTCTCTGGAAATGTGAGCCATTACATTTTTTAAATACTTCTATTCCATGGTGTGAGCTTCACAGCTGCGAAGCAGTAATGGCAGGGTAAAATATTTAACATTGTTGAATTTTTACACTACAGGAAATGGATGATCTATTTTCTGATGTCAATTGAATTAGTAAAATACTAAGCTTGTTAAATGGATACACTGCTCTAACCAATATCTATGTCTCTTAAAAATAAATTATATCAAGTTATTACCTCAGCAGTAACGTAATTTTATTTTAAAGAATGGATTTTAAAGAATGGCTAAAATCCTATTTTAATGTAATGAGGCAAAAGTCATTTCTTCTATCTTGATTCTCTTTTCTAAAAATATAGCCAATTCACAATGCTTGGGATAAAAATAACAATAACCTAGGCTGTGTTTAGAAATTCTCATGATGTATCATCCCATACTTCCTATCATGAACTCACCAAGCCAGTTTGAGGATTGTGAACTTCGAGGTGTTTGTTGTATAGAAATGGCAAACAATTACATGGGCTTTCTGAGGAAGTTGGCTTCCTTTGTGTCAACTCACTAAATCTCCTCCAAATTAGCCACTCCCTGTTATTATATGGAATTAACAGCTATTTGTTGCTGGTCCATGTAGTAATCACCTTTACTACATGAAGAGAATACAACTCACCTAGTTCTTCTTTTTCTTCTTTGGAATGGGCATGCGCTAGCGTAACACATGGTGGATTTTAAATAAATCCTGTGAGGTCAGGCAGAAAAACAGACAATATCTCTTTACATGAAAGCTGTAAACATTTTGGTCACAGTCAAATAACTGTGCACCATGAATAGTTTTCTGTAAAATGGGAAAAAGACATTTCTGGTTATTTTCTATACATGCAAACAAAAGAAAAATCTCTTATCACTACTCAGAAAAAAAATTACAAAATTGTACACAGTGTAAGGTTTTTTTTCCTTCCCCATTAAGTCATCTGGCATTTCTGTAGTAATAAAGATGGCCTTATTCCAATTAAAACATTGTGCTTTTTTCCTTCTAAAGGTATATTGTCAGTGTCTTTGAGATGCAATGTATTTGTTTCTTCACAATCTGTAAGTGTACTTCCCTGCAGCTATGCTTAGCGTGTATGTGTATATACAAACACACACACAGCCACAAAAATAACTTTGCACACTAAACTTTGTCCTGAGAAAAGGGTATTGCGGGTCCTAGCATCTTAAACCAAGACAAAATGCAATGGCTTGCAACTTTTAAGTTCTTATTATGTTTGTTATCTCTGAGGGAATATCTTTTCTTTAAGCCATAAGAAATTTCTTAGAATCAAGCATCAACCACAAATTTAAATTGAAACATTTTTGTTAATAATGATGGCCGAAAGTTATTGATTACAAACTGTTGAGGTACTTCCCAGTGACCCTTGTTCTATCAACAAAGTTAAGAATATGAGTGTCCTTTCAAGCTAGATTCCTCCCATAATCTTAACTGTGAGCCTCAAACAAATAAACGAAATCCCTCAGGGAGCAGTGATGGCTTCCGAAATCATTAAGAGGGACAAGCCCCCCCCACCTTTTCACTAGTTCTTTTTCTTGCCTAGTACCTTCATGTCACCCCCATCCTATTATAGACTGTTCTTTTGTGATCATTTTTTTTAACAATGTAGGAGGCAATCTTTGTATGGAAGCCTCTGCTGAATCAAAATCCTTTTGAAAACGGAAGTTTTCTCAATCCAACCAACTAACATCAAGTAATTTTTAACAAGCAGATCAATTATTGGCATATAACATCATTAAATAGGTCATGTATAAAACTGTATAAATATTCAAATTAATCTATAATTGGGTCTTGGAAGTTCCTTTGGCTGCTTAATGATCTCAGGGAAAAAAGTACTTTATTGCATTGTAATATGCTGTTTTGCATCAGCTTTGTATGGAGAGAATGTATACATATCTAAAGATACAGAGAATGCCATTTTACTGAATATCTAGATCTTGTGGGGATGGGCGGAGAGAAATCTATGTTATTTCACACTAAAAAGTAAATGATATGCAAAAACAGGTAATCCTTCATAATTGAGCACCACCAGTTCATTTATTTATAATTGATTGATTGAAAAAAGTAATTGTTTGTTGTACTGTCTTTTACAATGAACAGCACTTTGGTACTCACAAATAGTAAAGCAGCACTGTCTTTCAAAAACCAACACTACTATAACACCCAATGTAATGTGGCATGCAAATCCACAATTGCAACCCTTATTGATTTTGCATTCATCCAATGGCAATCTTGTTTCAAATATGAGTAGCACAGTAATGTCTGGCTACAAAGGGTAGTATTACAACAAGGAACTTTATAAAACATGGAATATGACGCTTATATTCATTCATATTTTAAGCACTATAATAACCACCTCTGTAGTACCAGGATTCCAAATTGCTGGACATTATAAATCACTGAACAAATTTCAACTAAATTGGTTATCTAACAACATAACCATCAAACCCAAGCCACCAATAAATTGGCTATAAAACAAATGTAATCGTTAACTTCACGGCACAAAAATAATTTGTCCTTTCAATAGACTTCTTTACATAATAATTTTCAGTGACATATGTATGTCAGATTCCAAAGGCTAATTGCTCTTGGAGTTAAATAAGGTCTGTTTAATTGCGGTCGTGTTCTATATCGTTTAGACTGAGCTGAGTTTAACAAGGCCACGCACTGAGTCTTCATGCAGTGAATCCTGGCTAACCAGGCTGAGGCTGTGCACGGTGCGGCTGTGTGTCAGGGCATATCCAAGGGGCAACATCCCGGGTGGAGCTTCTTCAGGAGTAAGAAACGGATGATTTTCAGGATCCTCTTTTAATGGTATCATTTCTGACAAGCTTGTTTCTGATGTGAGATTTGGGATGGAAGAAGGTGGTGTTGGTTGTCCTAGTGTCACCATAGCACAGGGAGCACCAAGAGTATTTTTCCCTGGTAAAGGCAGCTCTTCACTACTTAGGCTGGGCTCGCTCTGGAGGAGTGGGGTAGCAGCGGCCTGCAAAACGAATTTAGTGCTTTGAATGCACTGATCTTGATCACACTGAAGAATGGAAGGGTACCAAAATAATATACAAAGCATGAAAGATACAGAGGTGGAAGGGTATGGACAAAAGAGGAATGGGACATAAAGAGAAAGAAAAGAGTTATTAATTACACTTCCTTGTTAAACTGACCAAGACATCATGTACAATATATTGATGAATTCCAGAGAAGTGAAAGTATATAGTATGAAAAGTATGTGCCAGATAAAATAATTTATAAACATGCTAACTTTCTTCCCACAGTACATTGATGTTTATGTATTTCTGTGTAGATCTTGTAGTTTGGCTCTGCATCCTTATTTAAGGCTACGGAAAGAGCTTTCAACACACAAAGTCTGCAGTTCTCTGTATATATGATAATCTGTACACATTCAAAATTTATGCTTCCATCAATTTTCTAGCAATGAGAAGAGCTCAGCAACTTCATAACTCAGCAGCTTTATCTGGGTAAAAAGCACATTATAGAATATTTAAATGAAAAGAATCATTTAAACCACAAAGTACAATCTCCTGCACAGGACAGGAATTCAAATTAATAAATCCCACATAATGCCTGTCTAGAATTTGCTTAACATATTCATTGAAGGGGAGACTACCATCTTTCTGGATAACTGGTTCTTCTGCTGAACTGCTCTTATGTTGTTTTTTTTCTAATATTTTCACTTGGTATCTGCCTTCCTGTCACTTAATCCACTTTTTCATGTCCTGTCCTATGAAAGAAGAAAGAACAGATCTTGATCGTCTTCTGTGTAACATCATCTTAAAAATGATATCATACGCCCCAGAGTCATATTTTTTTCCAGCTAAACATATCTAGGTTCTTTCAGTCTTTTTCATAAGGCTGTTTTTAAGCTCCTGATCATTGTCTTCCTTCAAACTTTGAATATTGAATTCTCCTTAAAGTGTATTTCCAGTATCATAGTACTTAAGATAGGAATTGACCAAAATAAAATAAAATGGAACAATTATTTTCCATAATTTGTTAATCAGACTTTGTTGATACAATTTAAACCCTTCATTTGTCTGTTTACAGTTGCATCATTATTCCAGACACTATTTAGATAAAATTTATTAAAATTATATGCCACCCAACTTAATGACTCTTAAGTGACTCAACAATCAAACAAAGAAATTACTATAAAATCAATAAACATAAAGACTTAATATTAAAGATGGTGAGTGTGACAAAGAGCCAGGTCTTTCGCAGCTCTTCTAATCAACTACTGTTCCAAAGATCATTTTCACAAGTGCTGTTAATAAACATGAATTAGAATTAATCTTCCAGCACCTTTTCAGAACTAATAATTTTATTAAAAGGCATAAACTTTCATGAGTTGCACATAATTTCATCAAATGTAGCTTGCAAAAGCTTTTTTTCTTTTAATAAAATATATTTTCAAAAGCTATTCCTTCTGGTTTTTGGCCATGGAAGATTAGCATACCTCCCCTTCTACAATGTCTACATATCTCTTATTGTAACACCAGATTGTTGGGGGCAATATGCTGATTCTGTAAACCACTTAGAGAAGGCTGTAAAGCACCATGAAGTGGTATATAAGTCTAAGTGCTACTGCTATAAGTGTATTTGATTTTTGTTCTGTAACTGAAGAAAACTGAACTTGTCTCTGTTGAATGTAAGGTTAATTTCAGCCGAAGAGGCATACATTTTAAATAAACATAGTGTGAACAGCCATAATGTAATATATCTGATTTCTGTGTAGCACAATGTGAGAATCCAGACTATTATGCTTATTGAATAAGGCATGGTTAAGTAATCTTAACATATTTCATGAGCCAAGGCACTGGCTGTATCTCACATTTATACAAGGTCAGAAATTGTAAAAAAAAACCAAAACACTTTCTTCTGCTCCTTTGAAGAACTGCAATTTCCTGAAATATACAGCACATTCTATTTAGGCGCAGAACATTCTTGTGAAATGAAACCATTCTTCTATTTGAATTTACAAATTTACAATAGCAATACTGAATGCCCCTTTCTACTGTAGATAGAGATTACACTGATATTCAGCATATGCTTGGTTTGGTTAATCAGAACATAAATCTATGAATGCTGTATTATATTATTCAAATATATGAGATTATTGGTGCCACACACAAGTCAATACAGGACAAATTCATCACAATATGATATAATAATAGTCATATAGACTGATGTCAGTACCACTGTTTAATTTCCTTAAAATTATTTTAAAAGTATACATTTTGTATATTATTGATCCAAAAATACAAGATCTATGTTATACAAAAATCATTATATTACTGTCATTTAGTTAAGTTTTAGGCATTAAAAAATGTTTACTTTCATAAGTGTTTAATTTTGTATGCAGTTTACTGTACTTGAGCCTCAAACCAGGAAAGCACTTAAGCTGATGTAATTCATAAATCATTCTGAAAATATTTACGCTCCTATAGCTGCTTTAATACAACGCTACAAATAGAATCAAATTAAACTGAGAATCATCTTGTCCTTTAGTGATGATGATTCATATACTTTTCAAATTAGATTTAAATTCTGTCAAAATCTTTCTAAATTGTTAAATATTAGAACTAATGCTGATTAACTATTAATAGATTAATAGACAAATAATCCATACAATGCAAATAAAGTACCAACCACTTTCAGACAAATGTATCCTATTGAAAATAGTTTTTTATTTAAAACATGGATAATTTATTAGCTATCTTATTTGTAATTAAGTATTTTAACTATTAAAGTTGAATATTAAATATATGTTAGCTACTTCAGTTCCATTGCTTTTTTATAAAGCTGATACAAAATAGAAACAGCAATATTTTAAAGGTTGTTTTTATTTCTTTTTAAAATAACAGCACTAAACAGATTTTTTGAACTCTTAATTTAGAACACAAAAACATATCTACTAATTGGATTATAATCCAAGGAACATTTCTGCAGCATCAAAGATGAGTCCATTTTACTTTCTGGCTAGGACTGAGATAAAAAGATAATTTTATTCTACCATATCTAAAAGTTTTCAAAAATAAATTGCAATTAAGCATTACAAAATCAATACATTTATTTTTCCATGTTGTGTGTCTTGGTCAATGATTGGAACCACTGGAATTCTACATCAATGAGTGAAAAGGATTGAAAGGGACTTGGAAGAAATATAAAAAGTATTGAACTTATGAAAAAGACTATTTTGAAAAAGGGAAATAAGTAAAACAGAACAAGTAAAAAAAAAAGAACAGCATATTGTAGCGAATATTTCATGGGTTCCTATCATGCTGCATGAAAGCTACCTCCGTTTCATGCTGTTACAGAAGCCCTTTTTGTAATACAGAAAAACAGAAAAATATGCAAAGGGTTATGAAATATTGAGGCAAAAGGGACTCATAAAAACATATGCTTTCTTTGTGATAAATAGGTTCACTGAGATAGTGGCTGTTAAGATGGCATTGTGGACCATTCTTGTTGATGCAAATTATAATAGCTTTTCTATTAATCAGGTTTAAAAGATTAGAGTCTGTCAAACTAAATAAACCTGATTTGATAGCTATTGCTTTAAAACTGTAAATACTGCCTGTTCAGTTTATCCACAGTTTTGGTACAGTAACAGAGACAGTAACATGCTTTCTGGTGGGTCATAGCATTTGGGTATGTATGTATATGTGTAATGTTTTATCAGCTGAAAGGGATGCTTCCTGCAGTGGCAGTTTTTTTTCTTTTTCCCCTCACTAGCATTTTATTTTTTTTAGTCTTCAAGTATTTTACCTTATTTATAATGTTTTTAAATATTTTCTTTTTGGGGGGGGTATCTACAGAATAATGACATCGAAATTACAATTAACAACAAATCCATATTATAAGGATCTGGGCTGAATCTGTATTCAGCTTTAATTGAAGAACTATCCCAAATTTAAAACAGAAAACGATGAAAGAGCTCTGTAAGATTAAAGTGCTTAAGAAGAATATAGACATCACAGGACAGATAAATGAGGTACTGACATTTCCAGGACTACATACCGTAGTATTAAAATAATCCCAGTTCCAGGAATTTTTAAAGAAAATACATATAAATGCAGCAGTAACACATATTTCTAAAATATCTAAAATGTTTTCTTGAACATAATAAAAAAGAGGTGAATTAGTTATGAGGAGATGGCACAATCCACAACGCTGAATCAAGAATAACCTTTGTAATTCTGTGGAACAACTGAGTGAGTGTGGATTGCAGTCTCAAATACTAATGAAAAAATGTTTAGGAAACATGACTTTTGGTGAGTGAGTGGAGTCTCATGGTGTATTTTATGGCATAAAAGAACTAGTTAAAGAAATGATGGAGTACTAGCAGTGTACTAGGATGGGGATAAAAGCAAAATATACTACCAACCTTCAAAAAGGAAAAGGTGATCCTGTCAATTACCACCTGGTTAATCTAACTTCAGTCCCCTATTAAAATAATGGAAATATTGAGAGAGAAAAAAACCATAAAAACCCAAATATTTTTAAACATTTAGGCAGTGAAGCAATGGGTATTTAAAGTAATATTAATGCAGGTTTGATGTTCTAATTTTTCCAATTATACTATAAAGATTTTACATGAAAATTATATAGATGGATCAAAATATAATTAAAATATTTCATATTTCTACTTTACAAATATATCTGTGGCATAAAAAGAATTACAGGTAGTCTTTGCTTACTGACCATGATTGGGACTGCCAAATTTGTTGCCAAGTGATGCAGGTGCTAAGTGGAAAACCACATGATGGCAATGGACTCCCAACTTCACCTCCATTTTAAGTAAATCTCTGCAATCATTGAGTGAGACATTATACACAACTGTGACTTATGATTTCACTTCTATGTCCTCTATGCTGCCTGTTGGAAGCCAGCTGTGAAATATACAAATGGCAATCATGTGATCATGGGATGCTGTGACAGTCATAAATGAAAGGATTGCTTATAAAACGGGATTTTTTTCAGCCATTGTAATTTCAAATGGTTGCTCAATGAGGCAGTCAGTAAGCAAGGTCTAATCTTCATATTAATTTAAAAACTATGCCAGATCAGTTAGTTGCCTGGTTTTTACGATAAAGTTAGTTTTTCAGATGGAAGGGGATATTTAAAAGTGCTGTAATGGAGATAATTTACTTTCATCATTCATCAATTAGAAAAATAAAGCAATAAGGGCTTATCAAATTTGCAATGTTTCAACAGATTTAGATACTGAGAACAATGAGAGTGAAGTGGCATGAATAATTAATTTAGAGGAACTGAAATTATTTGGAGAGTAGACTAGTTTGAAAGGATCAAAACTCTGAAGTCATAACTAAAACATATATACAGTTTGAAATGATCATCATCACCAAACCATCACACTTCACTGGAACATGTTAGACTATTGAATTTTTCTGGAATTTTGTTCCCAGATTTACAAATATTAAGATTATAAATTAACAGTACTATGTTACAATACATAATGACAAACATCATGATGCTAAAGACACATATGAAATCACTGTTATTTTAAATCATTTTCCCTATTTTGACTATTTAACTGAACAAACATACATACCAATTTAAATCTATGGTAACAAATAAAACACACTGGCTTACAATGAAAAGTCTGAAAACAGACTTGTTTTCAATATTGCCTGTTCTTTACTGGTCCTTAGAAATTGTCCCTGGAGAGCCAATTAGGTAATAATTCATGGCTTAATAAAATGGGGAAACTAAGAAGAACTTTGCTGTAAGGCATAAAAGAAAAGAGGCAGTTACTTACAAAGAGTTTTTCCAGGCTGAGCTTTTATTGTATAATTCCCTAGTATATTCTATATTTTAATAGAGCTATGAATATTATTTTCCTATCAAAATTTATTTTTTATATCTACCAAAGGAAAAATGTCTTGTAATCTGATGATACCAGAAATCTTGTGCTGTGATCATACAGTAAAGCATCCCTTGAATATTATCATTGGGAAGTCTACAATAACAAACCATCATTTTTGTATCATATAAGCCACAACTTATTCAAACTTATATAAATGTCCATGTGCGACCATTTAACGATAAGTTTTAATAAGTTTGTATTTAATTCAGAATTTATTTTCAGATGGAGATTTAAAAATAGCATTTAAAATAAGAATATCTGATTTTTAAAAATCCACATGATATGCCATATGGTCTCCAATATCAAAAAGTTAATAGGTTATGTTGTGTTTAAAATATTTCTATCATTTTATTTTAACCATAAAACTTTGACTTTGCTTTTTTTCCTAAATTTCATAGAAGCAAACTGTTGGCTAGAATTTTTGGTTAATATAGGTTTGAATTAAAAAAAAATATTTGGAAGTCTTTAAAATATTTTGTTAATATTGCCTTTTTGAGAAATATCTAAAGGCTCAGAAACTATTGTTCAAATGAAATCAAATGGCTATACCTCTTAGTTTCATCATATGCAGTGTTATCAGAACATATGCTAATTTCATTGCAAGCCTTTAACTGAATTTACAACTATCATCACAAAAATATATAATTCTATTATTTATCTCAGCAATACATATAATATTTTACTGGCTAAAACCAGTAGTTGATCAATATTATGAGACTTCATTCAAAAAAAAAAGTCTTAATGCTGATTTCATCTCTATTTTGGGGAGTGGGGAAAAAAATAAAAAATGATTTACATTATGGATTATCTATTTCCTTTAGTAAACTCTAGTTAAGAAAATACTGATTAAGTTGCAAGCTAAGGAAATTATTCTGTAATAATACAGCCATATTAAATTGATCTGATACTCTACTCTTGAGCTGGTACTGAAAGGAGATTTCAGTAGCTGGTACTGCAAGGAGAAGCATACAAAGGAAGAACAGCAAAGAAGAATAGTTTATTGAGAGTATAGAAAATGTAGATCAGAAAAAATAATAGTACAATTATGAGCCCCAAATGACCACATCAAAGACTAAACCAAGAAGTTGACTTCTTCAAATTCTTTCTTCAGTTTACATGTGGAAACCATAGTTGTAAGTGTGAGATTTCTTTACAACATGCAATAAAGGCAAAAAAGTAAAATTATAGCAAAAAAACCTGGCATAACGGATATTAAAATAAGATGACACCTAAAGTCAATTTTAAATAACAAATTTATTAACATTTTCTTAGTTTCATTTGACCTACACACTTCTGCCTAAAAATGGAAATATGCAATTATTACTATGACAGAAAAACCAAAATAGAGAAAAAAAATAAGCATAAAGTATTTTAAAGTAAATCCATTCATTTCTAGAAATATTTTATTTTCCTTTTATACACTTATAGATTCAATGAGTCTCTGTTTTAAATAAGGATATATAAAACTATGTTATGCATTTAGTAATACTATAAAAGAAATTACTGGTACTAGAGTCAATAAAATGTTTGATAGTTAAAATATAACAAATTTGATATTCCTGGCAGATATAAAAATGATCAATGAACCCACCTGAGAAATCATTGTTCAAGAGAAAATCCTTATATTAATGTTATATAAAATATAAAAAAATCACATAACTATAAAAAGATGTACTATTACTGTACTTCACTAAAATGAAAAAAATTTAAAGGTTTGGGATTCAGATTTTTTTCTTCGTTTGAAGTCTATAAATAGGAGTAAAAATATACAAGTATTGACACAATTTTAACATACTAAACACAATTAGTATATTAAATTAGATACTTATTAGAATGCAATTCTAATTAGGATTCTTTTTTTAAATAAAAACATGAGTTAAAAATTTGCAGTAGTTAAATATAGTGGCTTTCAGAATGGTCACAAGAAATTCAAACTATTCTGTTGAAATATTCATAGTGTCATGCTAAGCTGTATAGGAAATCCAAGGTAGCAAGAATTTATGCAGAACAGCCAGTGGCATTTAATGTAGACAAATTAAAAAAAACAATAAATGCCTTATTGAACATCCAAGCATCAAATCCAAGCATTAAGATAGGCAAAGTTTCCACAATGAGAATTTCTCTATTAATTATGTCAATCTCAATTTAGATTACTAAAATTTTTAGTGTTCTTATAGTATTTTTTAAAATTTTGCATTAATGCTTATTACAATTTTGTCATCATAGAAACTATTACAGTATATTCATGGAAGGCTTTTATTGTAAAGTACTGGAAGGATGCAGCTTAGACTTATTCTCAAAAAAGCAGAAAAGAGAAACATTCAGAGTTCTTGTTCAACATTATGGGATGGTTCCTACCATATTACTCTGAGACTGTGTGGCCCCATACATTGTAATGCCATTTGAGGAAGCTGCTGGCTGAGGGGTATCTGGTTGGATAAATCCTCTTCGGTCAATTAAACTATAGAAAAAATACAAAGTTCTATTACAAATAATTCTTATCAGATAATAATGAAGCTACCTTTAAGACAAATAGTTTCATAGCTTCTTAGAATGCAGTAGCATGCACAAGTTTAGGTACTTCTGGCAGAAATTGTATATTTCAATGAATTTTTAAGTTGGCAAAACCTATACATGGTACAAAATTAAGTACATCATCTTTTTGCAGATTTGCTCTTCATTATTATTATTGCCTTCCTGATGCCTTATAGCACTTTATGAGTTAGGTAAAAACAGTGTGAATAAAAAACTATTTTAATTTTGAAAATGTTTGCCCTCACAATTTACATAAAGTGATCATTCTAACTCAACAGTATACATTATATTCATCTACTGCATGTCCCTGTGAAGTTATTAATACTAATTCCAACTTTCCCTGTAGTTTAAATAGGCTTGTTCTTATCTAGTTTGCTGTATGACTAACTAGTGGTACAGTATGTACTGCAGATAAATTTGAAAATAGATGTCCAAATCAAATTAACAATTTCTGCTTGGAATATTGTGATTTCAAAACTATGGTTATGCATTGTTAAATTGTAATCATTCACAGCTGGACAGTGAACCAAAAATTATTGTTGAAAACCAAAAAAAAAAAAAGCTAGCTGATTTTTCCATCAAGCTTTATTCAGTTTTTGCTGCAGCAAATTAAATCAGTTGTGCCTAGATTGGTATACTATAATTTTCCCAATGTCGTATTAGTTGCAAACCATAAAGTTAATACCACCAGAGGATTCAAAGGTTATATCACACCTATAGCAAGTTACATTGTGAGTTACATATACCTGACTTGACTAACACACAAAGGTACAATAAAAGAAAAAGAATACTGAATGATTATATTAAATCTCTTACCTAGGAGAAATGGGCCCACAAAGTGCTGAGCAACAATTAGCACAAATGTTGCCATAGCTATAAGGATTGAAGTTTTCTTTGCCTCTTTTATTTGACCAAGATCCCTTGATCTATAAAGAAATGAATACTAGTGCGTTAATCTTCATTTTTAATAGCACTCTTTGGTTTATAAGTGTTTTTTATTCTAAGAAAAAAATAATGTATCAAATTATGAGCAAAAATAGTGTATCAAATTATGAAGCTCCATGAGTTCTGTGACTTGAACCTTAATTTATTTTTCCCATTTCAATACATCGTTTGATACATAAAATCTAAGCACATGTTTTCTGTTTCATGCTGTCAATCAAACACTTCAAAGGAAAAAATAAATCAATGCGTCATCTCTTCTCCAAAGGGACATTCCAGAAACATCTAGTGCTCATCTACAATAGAATACATGTAATGGGTTCATTCAATTTGTCTTCCTTACAAAGTGCTATATTTCATATATCCAGTGCAGTTCAGGGTATGAGTGGAATCCTATGGATGGGATCTCCTCTTTCCCCATTTTCCCATTTTCTTCACAATTAAATATAGTTTAAAAAAAACAAACTTTACTGAATATACAACTAAAATAAGGAACAAACACATACACGACATAGGAAAAAAATGGAAAAAACCCACAAAAAATAAACAAATAAAAGCAAGCAATTCCATTATCAACAGTTTGTGGTTCCTTATTTGTTATTATTGGTGTCATATTTACAAGTAAATCTTAATGCAAGTATGTAATTACTACCTCCTTTACAGTTAACATTATTTACTAATATATTTCCTATCTTTGTCTATCCAGTCATACCAACATTCCCAGCTTTTGTAATATTCTGATGATTTTTTATCCTTCAGTGCTAAGGTCAATTTATCCATCTCTGCACAGGTTGCTATTTTCTGAATAATCATTTCCTCTGTTGGAATATCAGCTTGTTTCCAACACTGTGCAAAGGCTAGTCTAGCTGCAGTATGTGCAATATTATATTTTTAGCTTTTTTAGGGAATTTGTCTATCAAATATCCCTAATAAGAAAAATTCTGGTTTTAATTCAATTTGCTCCGCTGTTATTTCCTCCAACCATTTTTTGATTCTGTGCCAAAATCTTTGGGCTTCAGTGCAGGACCACCACATATGAAAGAATGTTCCGTGTTTCTTTTTACATTTCCAGAAATTCGGATTCATGTTAGGAGACATCTTTGCTATTCTCAAAGGAGAAAGATGCCATCTATACAACATTTTATAGGCATTTTCTTTATATGTTGCTGATTTTGTGATTTTATTATTCCTGATCCAGACCCTTTCCCATTCTAATAATGTAAAGCTACGTCCAATATTTCTACTCCAAACTATCATATTGCCTTTGACTACTTCCTCCTCTGATTCTACCTCTAATAGTTATAAAATTTGGTTATATTTCTTTTTATATGGACCTAGTAAAGTTTTATCTAATTGCTGTAACTTACTGTAAATTCTGAAACTTTTTTTATCCTGTCTGTATCTATTTTAAATTTGCAAGTACACCCACCGGTTTACTCGTAGCCCTTGTTCTTGGTGATCTTGCCATGGTTTTAAAGCTCCTTGTGCATCCAGAAGGTCTTTGTATTTTATCATCTTGTTGAGATCCAAATTATTTGGATGTATCATCGCTTCCATCGTTGAGATCCAAATTGGGATTTTTAGATAATGCTTTTTCTTTATTTTATTCCAGTTAGCCAATAGTTTCTAATTATATGTCTGTGGAAGTAATTCTGTTTGGTTTTTCCCATGTCTCATAAGAATGCATGCCACCCCCTCTGTAAATCATGGCCTTCTAGGAATAACATTCTTTTATTTGACAAATTTACCCACTCTTTCAGCCATAGTAAAGAGGCTGTGCTATGATATAATTCCCAATTTGGGAGTGCCATACCCCCTCTGCTCTTCATGTCTTGCATTGCTTTTAAATTTATCCTCGATTTTTTCCTTTGCCAAAGAAATTTTGCGATTATCCTATTAAATTCCACAAAGTAGTTTTTTATTGGTATTGTCTGGAACAAATAAATAAATTTAGGGAGAATGGTCATTTTAATGGTAGCAATCCTCCCTAATAGGGAGATTTGCAGTTTAACCCATAACTCTAAGTCTTTTTAAACCTGTTGTAGTAATTTGCTATAATTATTTTCCATTAAAGTTTTACACTGAGCCGTCAGCCAGATTCCTAGGTATTTAATTTTTTTAACCACTTGTAGTCCCATTGCCTTTTCCAATTCTGTTTTTCTGTTAGGTTTTTAGTTATTAATTTCATTTTTCCCTGTTAATTTTAAGTCCTGCAACTTTCCCAAATTGATCTAGCTCTTTCAACAGTTCTTGACCTGTTTCAATTGGGTCCTCTATGAAAAAGACCATGTCATTTGCAAATGACTGCAGTTTATATTCTTCTTTATTTTTAAACTCTTTATTCCTGGGTTCTGTCTAATTCGTGTGAGCAGTGTTTCCAAAGATAATATGAAGAGCAGGAGAGATAATGGACATTCCTGCCTAACTCCTTTCTCAATAGTTGAGACAGCAACTGACCCAAAATAATCTGGTGGAAGCAATCCTAACCCAATCCAAACTATGGAAAATGTGTGTATTAAATTCTCAAATCTTTTGTAAAGTTTCTTACATAATTATGGGGAACGTAATTAATTATCATTTACCAAGCAGACAGATCCTAATCTATATTTTAAATATTAGAGAATTTTCTGACAACTACATTGTCTTTTAGTTATTCAGTATACTGCCAAGTTACTTCTGATCATCTTCTTAAGCTTGGGGAAGGCGAACATTCTCTAGCTAGGCCAGCATCTTACTCACATTCTTTAAAACTGCTTTTTTCAATTAGAATTCTGTGAGATTACAGCTCTCAGTGAAATTTTTTATGCTACATACAATTCAGCTACCAACCTACCATGTTGTTTTGTTGTTGTTGTAAATGTTCAATGTGGATTGTGTAGGTTAGAAGTTAAATGTATTGTGAAGTTTTCACAGTTTTTATATTTTTTACTGCCGGAATTCCATGAGATCTGAAAATTATTTCAAGGGTACCTCTAGGGGAAAAAAAGATTGCGGAAGGTTGCTCTAAATATTAATGCTGTCATTGTGATTTCCTAGCCTAAACTCCATTTAATTAAGACAAAGTCACGTTCAGTGATTTTACTGTAGAACTGCGTCTTAACTATGCTTCGTTTCTTGCCAAGAAGCTATCAAAAAGTAGTTATATGCATTAAATAGACAAAAATAGGACAGCACACTTGAGTGAACTTTGCAACCTTTAAAAAAATATATAAAAGCAGACAGTGAAAATGGAATACATGAAATCATTAGATGGAGACAAATTAGAGCAAGAGAGGGGAAACTTACATCCTCATTGGTTGTTTGATTGGAGCTGATCAAATAAGTATGAAAACCTGAGAGCCCAACAATGGACCAAACGGAGAAGAAACACACCACAGCTTCTAGGACGGTGATTGAATGTCAAGGTAATATTAAAAGTCAGTGAAGATAAAGGCTATTGGCAACAACAACTAAATGAACATTTTTTCTTACAAATCAAGATTATCACTCAGGATCACTATTGTACTTGGAAACAACAGACATGCCATGTTTACTAGCACACTGTGTTTGAAAAGTTCCACATTTTCCTGAAGTATTTGATTAAATTAGTAACTATGCATGTACATACACATAAAAAAATCCTATAAAATGTCCAGCTTACCACCCTGTAAACTTAAGAGTTGTGGATTTCACTTGAAACCAGTTTTGGAGACAGACATTATAACTTGCCCAAAAGGGCAGGATTAGAATAAAACATAGTATTGTTTAAAATTAATTTGTTGTAAAATAACCCATTTAATTAAATTGAATTCTGCACTTGCATATTCCAACCAATCTCCCACAGGCCACTCATTTACACAGAAACATGCAGGTACACGCATGCATATACATACACTCATATATAGTTACATACATGCATACAGTTTCAAATACAGAGATCCACAGCATATGAAAAAACAGTGTCAGGCCACCATGATGCCAGCTGTCCCTTTGATTGGTGTATCATGATATTACAGGCATGAATTAAAGAGGGTAAACTGTCACACAATGACACAACACTGCATTTGTCCTGCTGAAAGCATTGGATCCCAATATCTCTTGACTTTTAATAGGAACAACAAAACAGGGAAAGAAGGGAGAAAGGAAATGGTATATAAAGGTGTAGCTGCCATGGTAAAGGAAAAGGGAATGAAAGCATAGATCAAGCAATGAGAAGAGATAACTGAACAAGGATTGAGGACAGAAATCCTGTTTAGGCCCTACCAAAGGGTTAAATTCATCAGGCAAAGGGTAATTTCAGGAAATCCTCAAAGATATTTATACTTTTGACCAGTGATGTTACAGCCACTGAACCCATTCAGTGATATTTGCTATTCTTCTTTACAGTCAAATCAGAAAGATCCTCCAGTTCATAAATAATTATTTGTGGGGGCGGGAGAGGGAAATAGTCTTCTTATTGGATTAATGCAGTACTTTACCATTTAGTCAGTTTTGTTCTTCTATGAAAGTTAAACAGATGGTATGTGGGAGGAAATAAGTATAGCTTATTCTAATATGACTTATTCTAATATATTGACTTCCAATATATCTTCTCGGCCACATAAAACGAACATGAGATATACCAAAGTATATCAAAGTGAATGAATCAAAGTGAATGAATAAAAAGAAGAATATCATAACGGCTTTAACTTCAATGTGTTTCCCCTTGGCTCAGCTTTTGATATGCTTCTTTCTTACTGAATTTTTCTTTCTAGTATTTTACTTCATGGCATTTTCTAAATAATAATAGTACAACTACAAATCTGATCTCTGAAATGTGGACTCAAAAAGGCACAGCGGATGGTAAAACAACGGCCAAGTCTTTTTCTTGCAAATCACCGAAGGCAATCCATTCATAGAAAAAGAGTAACTCTTCTTTGTACTGGAGCTACAACTTCAAAATTACTATCTATAGCAGACAAGATGTAATTTGATGTTATTTCTACCTTATTTTAGATGTAATTTTTAAAATCCTCTTTGCCCAGAATTTTAAAGAAATTTTGCTGGAGGAATGCACAAATAAACATTTTTCATGGATAAGGAAACAAACAGCAAACAGGACTGGAACATAAGGCCCAAATATTTTATTACTGGGTTGTTGTTTTTTAGATATGTTTAATACATTTCTGTATGGCTGTTGCCAGCCTGGTTACTATAGAAAGTCTGTACGCCACAAATTTCAAAACCTTTGAATATTTTAGTATTTGCTTACAAAAACCAAATTTCTGAGGACAGCTAAATAATATGCGAAATAACATACCTATCCCTGTATACTTCATGTTCTCCTCCCCATATTTTAACTGTATTTATTATTATTACAATTAGTTTATTGTTATTCATTATTTTATCAGTTTTAAGGTCAATAAATCCAATAAACAAATAAAATATACCTCAGATTTAAATATCCACATACTCAGTTTGGTCTAGTGCAGGGGTGTCAAAGTTGATTTCATGGAGGGCCGCATCAGAGCTGTGTTTGACCGTATGTGTGTGTGTGTGTGTTGCTGGGGTGGGCGTGGCCAGATCGACATCATTCACTGAGGCTCCGTTTTCAGCCATGATGGCCTCCTGCAGGCCTCTCCTAGGGAAAATGTAGCTCGAAGGCCTATACTCGGGGCTCCTTTTTCGCTGGCAGAGGGCTGCAGAAAGCCATTGTGGCTGAAAACAGAGCCCAGACAGACCGCACACAGCCTTCCTGGGCTCCATTTTCATTGGCAGAGGACTGCAAGAAGTTGTTGCAGCCAAAAATGGAGCCTGGGAGGGCTGTGCACAGCCTCCCCGGGCTCTCTTTTTGCTGGCAGAGGGCTGCAGAAGGCTATTGTTTTCACTGTCAAGAGGCACTGTGGGCCGCTTCTTCACTGTTTCCAGAACAGCCCCATGGGCCAGATATAAGCACTGGTCTTGTGATAAGGCACCAGTCTAGAAACCAGGAAACTGTGAATGCTAGTCCTGCCTTAGCCATGAAAGCTGTCTGGATGACTTTCAGCCAGTCACTCTCTCTCAGCCATAATATCAGGCTTGGGCAGTGAGCTGGGCAGTCAATTCCCAATACACCCAATGGATCAATACTTGTTTGATCTGAAAAAAGTATATTCTGCACTTGTGGAAAAACACTAGGAAGAAAACTAAAGTATCCATATCATTAATATAGTACACCAGGTATTGGCAACAACACTTACATGCACCACTATTATCTACTCAGTATTCTTGTTAGTTAACAATTACCAAGAACAAGAGGTGAAGCTGTTGCTAGTATGTTGCACTGTTCTTCATAACTCAATTTTATGCACTTACAATAATGCATAAAATGGAAGTGATATTTAAATTTCTTAACCAAAAGCTGCCTATCTCCATCTGAAAAGAAAACATTTTTCTCTCCATTCAACCACACCATAAGTACCAGAAATCCAATCATATTCTTGCAATTGATCAGAACCTATTAACCATTGTGCTACATGTTAGATTGGTGCAGCCAGGGCAAAATAAACAATCTTGGTCATTAAGCTATGATATTCAAATATTATTGACAAATGTTATTATGTTACATGATAACATGTTAGTAAACTTGAAACTATGTAACAGTGCAACTATCCAAGATTCTGAATACGAAAAGCTTATTATACAAATTCATGAAACAAAACACCTCTACTCTCCAACCATTTATATTTTGCAAATAAGCATGAAGAAGAACTGAATGGAATTAGATATAATGCAAAGCAGTTTTGGTGACACAAGCAATAAATAAGGAGCATGCCGTCATAAAACAAGAGAAGCAAACAATCTATAAATATTCTCAGGAGGCTAAAAGTAGAACCATAAAACCATAAGCCCATATATGCTCTTAAAGACTAGATTATACTATTATTCTTACTTTAGCTCTCTTTGAAGACCTCAAATCCACTGTATCTTCAACATTTCTAATACTTATGTTTTTATTGAGCATGGAGTGCTGTTCTTTCCTCAATTATTATTCTGTTTCAATCAACTTGATAAAATATGCAAATATTTTATTTCAAAAATATTTCAAAATTGTGTGTGAATTCTTATAAATTTATTAAACTTCATAAATGTATTTTAGTTTATATCCGGAACTTTAATCATTTGAAAATATATGGCTCAATCCTACAAACTTTGTGTAAAATAAAATCCCTGCCCCGTTATCTTTTAGGATCAAAGTTCCTCCAAAATTACTATGAAAAAATGAGAACAAATGATAGAAATAAAGGATTACTTCTATTATATGTATATCTTTTGTTTACACATGGAATGGATGGACTATATGGTAAAAAAAAATCTCTGTTATTAGTGATGGAATTATATATAATTAAAAACAGAGAAAAAGAGAGTAGAGAGAGAATAAATGGTGATAAGGAAATTACTAAATTGTAATGCAACACATAGGAAGGATTCCTTTTACCAGTTTCTTTTCTTTTCTTTCTTTCTCTCCTTCTTCCCTCTTCCTTTCTCTCCCCCCACCCTTAGGTTGCTAGCCCCTAAATGCAAATGATGAATGAATGAATTACTTATTGTTCCTGTAAAGTAATCAACACATTTGGCATCAATAATCCTTTTGTTCAGAACTTATAAAAAGCTCTTTCATTTTCAGGGAATGGAAAAGCATAATAAGAAAGAACTGTGATTCTTTTAATTGGAGGCTACTACATTATTTACAAACAGTGTTTGAACAGAAGCTATTAGGTGTTTATACTTCAGTATTTGTGCTTAATTAAGTAATGTTTAGCTGTTTAATGGCTGAAAACCTTTTATTTGCTACCTTATAATTTCCATTAAAATTTGTAGCACTCGATGCTCGCTATTGTGTGGAGATGTTATCCTAATGTTTCTAGATGTATGCATTGCTTAAAATGTAATATATTATAAGAAAGCAGCGTGTATACCTATGGGCTTTCTTCTGAATTTACAGGGTTTCAGGGGTCAAATTGAGAACCCATGAATGATATATATTTTTTATTCATCACTCCAACACAATAGCAGAATCAATACCATGAGAACCTACTGAGGTAGAGGGAAAATAGCAAGTGTCATGTAAACCTATAAAAAAGTATTGCACGAGCACGTTCCTGGTTTTCTGCTCATTCTCTGAGAATGCCTATTAAATATTGAATAGAATAGAATTCTTTATTGGCCAAGTGTGATTGGACACACAAGGAATTTGTCTTGGTGCAAATGCTCTCAGTATACATAAAAGAAAAGATACATTATTATAACAGGTTTTCTTTTGGATACTTTAGCACCTAATGCACATTATGTGAGGAATTTTTATTTTACAAAGAACCATTTTTTGTGTGATCTATCATATTCCTACATAAGCTAAGGGATAAGTCTGAAACTGCAAACTCGTTTCACTATCTCATCAAAAATGATTAAAACTGTACTACAAAAATATTCTGGCCATTAAAATTCATAGGCCAGCTTTTTCCAACTTGGGGTCTTCCTGATGTGCTTGGACTTCTGCTCCCATAATTCTGAACCAGTAGAGATTAGTCATGCTGGTTGGGGATGTGGGAATTGAGATGCGGGAATTGAGATGCCATTGCTTTTGAAGAGCAACTTGATGGGAAAATCATATATTACGTGTAAAACTGTCATATATTTTTATATAAACTCACAGAAATGAACTTCTTAGTTTTAATTTAATTATTTCATATCCATTAATTTAAAAAATCCATTAGCTGCCAGCAGAAAGCAAATAGAAGTATATCTAAATATTAATTCTTTAAAAATTATTCCAACAAAGATAGATGTATTTCAGTGAAAGGATATCTTGCAGGACTGTCTTTAAGTGCAGTTAAAAATCTTGTTTTCTGAGTTCCTGTAAAGATAATACATGTCAAATACAGTGAAACTATAAGCATAAGAGAAAGTATCTGAAAACCCAACATAAAATTGTATTTTCAAATAATCATAACACATAATTTGTTTAAACCAGCCTTAAAATGTTGATGAAACTATTCAATTAAAAAATAGAGAAAGTAAAATCAGAATTGCATTTGCAGGATATTTTCTCAGTAACACCAGGTTAATGTCTGCAGGCATTGGTTACATATAAATAAGATTCATGGTTTCCTTCTTTGTACTATCCTAATATGGAAACAAAATATTTCAAGCTCAGTTTTCTCCATAAAAAAATGTGCTTACTGATTTATTTTTACTCTCACGCACACAAAAAATGTTTTGGCTGGATCAGGAGATCTTTAACTACAGTTTGACCCAAATTCCAAGCTTTTTACAAATTCCTTTGGAGATACTACTAGGAGATATGAGCAGCCAGCAGTAAATTTCAGTTTAATGAATTCAAAGCCCCAAGTGCATTACTTATTTATTAGATTCATATTTAGCTGAAATTAAAAAAAGACTCTTGGCCATTTTATGGAATTCTTGAGTGCCCTTTGAAGAACTGGCCACAACAGCATTTTTGGAAATGAGAGGCTGGATTCAGCCTTTTATCTCTTTTTCCATCGATGGTAGCATCTCCCAAAATAAAGTATCAAATTAGTTTATGCTACTAAACAAACAAACCACATCTGCCATTGGGCTAACATGAAACAAAACTCTAGCAGCTAGCTGATTCCACTTTTAACTAAAAGTATATCATATGATTTTATACAGTTTAGTATATGTGTATTATTTAACTTTACAGCTCCCATTTTGTCTTCACAACAGGTTTGTGACATAAATTGGGCTGAATGATAATATTTAGATCACTCAATAGCTTTCCATCATCAAGTGGTAACCTGAAGATGGTCCCCTCAAAGCACTACACCATACTGACTGCTTATTTGATTAACTATGTACCTGAACTAGAATTTGTTAAGATTGCTTCACTGAAGCAATCAGGGACCTTAATTTCTACTGACAGCCTACTACTCAATGAAAAGAGAATAAAGACAATAATAGCAAATTATTCTTTTATATAACCTAACTTTAAGAGCTACACAAATAAGAAATAATGAAGAAAAAAAATAGCTGGCAAGGATCTGAATTAACAAGAAACTTTTACAGTTGGAAATAAGGTTGAAGGCCCAACAAGGAATACTATTGGAGGTAAAGGGGGAGGTTCTATAAAGATACAGCTATCCTAAATGATCAAGATTAAAGTTAAAATTTAATCGCAAGGAAATGACTACATACAGAATCTGATTTTACTAGCATACTTACGATGGATGATGTGGGTAATAACGAATGCAAATATAAAAACTGTCAGAAATGACAGAGATAAAATAAACATATAAAAAAATCTGTAGTTTCTTTTCCCCACACAGTTGCCTACCCAGGGACAATGATGATCAAACTGTTCTGAAAGAGAACATAGAAGGAAAAAAAAGAATTCAGTTAGGGGAAAAAAATGGCTTAAGTTCTCATTAACATATGATTTGTTACATATTATGCTTATGCCACCGTTATATATAAAGTAGTCTTAAACAATACTTCACTTCTGTGCAAGCCTTCTCTAATTAACCTATATACTTCACTTTTTGTTTTATGTAATATTAAGCAGGTCTTTCTCTTTCTTAGTCCCTGGGTGTATATACCAACAATGTTCATTTTTTGAATTTACAAATTCCCCTTTGCTTAGCTGAAATAAATGTGTTTACTATATAAGTTCTGAAACTAGTTTCTGACTATCTTTGATGGGCAGCAGAATTTTTACTTCACTTTCAGACTTCAGCAAGCATTTATTTGGTTGAGTAAATCATCTGTTTCAATAACTATTTTTGTTATTTGTTTTATTATTTTCCTCCAAAAGCATACACTGAATATTTGGGGTAATTTTCTACAAATATTTTAAAGCAAGTAAATTAAACTTTATTAAAATGATAATTTTTTATTAAAATGTTACCCAACTACTTAAATTTAACAGCTTTACTCCAAATATCCTATAGCAAAGGTGTCAAACTCGATTTCATTGAGGACCGCATCGGGGTTGTGTTTAACCTCTGGAGGGGCAGGGGTGTGTGTCACTCATTGAGTCTCCGTTTTGGGCCGCGATGGCCTCCTGCAACCCTCTGCCAGCGAAAACTGTCTCCCTGAGGTCTGTTTCACTGGCAGAGAGTTGCAGGAAGTCTTCGCAGCCCAAAACAGAACCCGGAAGGACCACGCACAATTCTCCTGATCTCCCTTTTCGCTGGCAGAGGCACCGTGGGCCTGTCCTTCACTGTTTCCAGGGCAGGTCTGCAGGCCAGATCTAAGCACTCTGCGGGCCAGATTTGACATCCCTGTCCTATAGTATTGAGTTTGACATCCCTCTCCTATAGTATTGTTAAGGAACTTGGGAATATGTTTATTAACTCTTGCAGATATTTTTAATAATGAAACATCTTGAGCTGATTCTGCAGCTATCATACTCTTAAGACAGGTAGTTAAAGATTGGAAAGGGTGAAGGTGTTCTTTTGGCAGGTCCAGAAGCAGTTTTTGTATTTGCCCTTTGGAACAACATTACTATCCCACCCTCCCAAAGTGAGATTGGCCCCCAGCCCAAGATGGAAAGGCCCTTTATTAGGGCTGGGAATCTCATGGGTGGGTATATATATTTAATAAATAAATAAACAGCCCTTTTCTCTGACTGATTAGATGAACAGAACTGGCTTTTGTTTACAAATATTCTAAAAGCATTTTTATTTATTTTTTTTAATTTTTATTTATTTATTTATTTAGATTAGTCAATCGCTTATAAGATAATAGGTATAAGTACAGTATATACATAGTTATGAATACATGAAATGGGTACATGTAAGAAAAATAAAAGAAACAATAGGACAGGGACGGTAGGCATGTTGGTGCGCTTATGCACGCCCCCCCCCTACAGACTTCTTAGGGAAGGGATGAGGTCAATAGTAGACAGTCTAAGGTTAAAGTTTCTGGGGTTTGGGGAAGAAACCACAGAGTAAGGTAGAGTATTCCAGACTCTCTGTTGCTGAAGTCGTATTTCCTGCAATCAAGTTTGGTGTGGTTAACCTTGAGTTGTATCTATTGTGTGCTCTTGTGTTGTTATGGTTGAAGCTGAAGTATTCATTGACAGGTAAGTCATTGCAATGTATGATTTTATATATCATACTTAGATCAGACTGAAGATGGCGTAATTCAAGGTTTTCTAGGTCTAGAATTTCAAGTCTGGTGGCATCAGGTATTCTATAACGAGTAGAGGAGTAGAGAACTCTTTTTGTGAAATATTTCTGGACTTTCTCAACTGTGCTAATATCAGGTATGTTATGCGGGTTCCAGACTGATGAACTGTATTTGAGTATTGGTCTAGCAAATATTTTAAACCATTGTTAGAATATATTCTGCCATAGAAAACCCAAGGACTTTTCTGTGGAATACCAAAAACCTGGCTAATTCAATGAGAATCATTTACATTTGTCCCCATTGGCAGTATGCCTTCTTGTGGTTTTTCTCTGAAGCCCTATGATTTTAATGTATGACTGCATCCATTGGTCATTCTCCATTTGCATGTTTCTCTACACAGCTAATTAGTATAATATCAGTTGTGTTTACAATTTTTTTGTATTTTATTACTAAAACACAGAAAATCTAGAAGTATAAATTAAACTCCCACTTCAGTAATTTGATCAGAAACAGACAATTTGGTGCCTTCCAAGTTGCAATAATCCCTCATCACTAGCCTTTCTGGCTAGCACTAAGGGAAAGCATGTGGATGCTTGCCTTGCATTAAACACAATAGCAATTAATTCTCACCTTGATTATTCTGGATTTAGATTTTTGTCACCCAAATAAACCTCCTACATACAAATTAAAAGTTCATTCAGTGGTATGAAGCCATACCAACAGGAGGAAGCATCACCTGGCCAAATCTGCTCAGGTCTGGAAGCTAAACAGAATCAGGTCTGCTTAACACCTGAATGGACAAGTACTCAGGGTTGTCAAATAGACTGGGAGCTTAAACAAACAGTCCCAGAAGAAGGCACTGATAAACTACTTCAGTATAGTTACCAAGGAAAATGACATGGGTATATTCATGAAATAATCTGGATTCAGCCAAGGGATCTTTTTTTGCACTTTTTTTTTAGCCAAAAGTGTGTATACCCTTTTTAATCATAGAAGCCCAAAACTATTATCTTATAAGCGATTGACTAATCTAATTATAATGTAATTATAATGTAAACAAAAAAATCACATATTTTGGATTATAAAATTAAGTATTTTCTGTTACCTTGTGTATGAAGCAAATGTTGTTTTATTGGAATGTGTATTATCTTTAGCAAAATGTATGTCTCGGCTTATTAACACATTTCTTAAACCTTTGGACATCTAAAATCAACCCAAAGAGCAGCAGTTGCATTTCAAGCTGAAAGGAAGCTTGAGGTGATCTAATAGCAAACCTGAAATTACGTATTCGAATCTGGGATATATAAACAGAGAAGTATAAACACTGACAGTTTACCTTCAGTTGTACCAGTTTGACAAAATAGCAAAGCTATACTTTAATAATGAGAAATACCAAATGAATATAATATATATCAATAATTTATCAATTCTCTGTCATAGCTATCTAGATTACTATGCTTTTTGTGTTTTACTCACCTACACAGTTATCACAAAGGCTGCAATGTGAGGCACGGGGTGGACGGAAAATCTTGCAGGTGAAACAGTATTTTAATTTAATTGCCTGACCATTAATGATTACTTCTTTTGTTCTGGGAGGGGGTCGGTATCCTCCTGTACTAGAGCCATTTGCAATATCTAAATAAGGAAATAAACATAAAAACCCTGAGTGCTTTTTATTTTGTGTAAATATTATTGTAATATAAATTAGAAACACCTAAATAAAATTAGTTGTGTGCTGTAAATCATTCATTATTAAGAAATCAATATGTAACAAACCAAATGCTACTAGATTTAACTCTTAATAAAACACATCACATTGAATATGCAACTTTCTCTCCCAATTATATCCCCATATATTCAAAGCTGCAAATATCTCTTCCATCTGCATAGTAACAAGGCAGATGACAAATATAAAATGGTTTAAAAAAAATAAGAAGAGAAAGTGAAAAACTAACCCACAAGGCTTTTAGTCCAAGCATTAATTTATATAACTACTCTTAATAATGTACTTTGGTATAACAACACTGCTTGGATGTGATTTTCCATATGAAAATGTCTACTAGTTGTCAATGATTCTGGAGAATCTGCAAATACGATTGAATTTTAACTATATCTATTTTGTTCCATGCATACTACTTCCTTTCAGATTTGTTGGTTTTTCTTTGTTGTTTGCCTTCACTGATTCATAGCTTCGTCCCTCTAACTGCACCTCTCTCTTTAGTTTCCCTTATTCTCCCATTCAACAGTCTGTTAATAGTGGTGTCTGACTTCTTTCCAAATTCTGCCAGTTCCCATTTTTGCCTATTTCCCACCCTTTTTATTTTGCTTGCTTGATGTTTCCATAGATGAACAAAGTAGCTTTATCATTAATTCATTATTCTACTCCCTTTTATGGCTAATATTTTTCCTACTTTATTTCTTTGATTTCGCATATGAATCTGGCTTAACTCTTTTCCAAGTTTTTCAAAATCACTATGCCTCTTTGCTCTCCTATATTCAATCATTTGTGTGTGTGTGTGTGTGTGTGTGTGTGTGTGTGTGTGTATGGTATTCAGCTTTGTTTGGGTATTTTCCCATGTCATTATACTTGTGCTTTTAAAGTTGTAGCAACGTTTCGGCAGAATCTCATCTGCCATCATCAGGCTTCTGTATTGTGTTCGTCTGTGAGTCAGACTTTTACAGTTGTTTCAGTTTTAAATTTGGGGCTAGCCTACTGCTGTGCCAGGATGGTTTTTTCTTCATCCTGATTGGTTGGGAGTCTTGGTCTGTGTTTATTGGTCTTGGAGTTTGCTGTGTTCTGCTTGATTGGTGTTTCTAATATCTTCTGTTTTGTAGATTTTTTGGTCTTGATTGGCTGGCAACATTGTGTTTCCTGTATTGGAGGCTTTTCGTGCGGCTTGGCTCCGAGTAAAGGGACGGCTATCATTTATGAGGAAGCTAGGTTTCATCTGGGTGCCTGGTTGGGGTGTGTTTGAGCTGGAGGTATCAGGGGGGATCTGTTTGTGCCCAGGTGTTTGCCTGGCTTGTGGTGTGGAGATTTTTTTGTTTGTGAGTGCAGGCTTCCAAATAATTGACAGTCTGGTGCAATCATCTCTTCTATTCATGCTTTCAGGTCCTTTTTCAATCTCTCTTTCTATATACATCTATATATCTATATCTATATACCGTGTTACCGGGCCTTTTTTTTTTTGAGCCCCAAAAAACCAGCTAGGACGTCTTTTCAGGGGTGAATTAATTTCTCCCCCCCCCAATGCACCAGCGCCGTCTCCAACAACAGCGTCTGAGTCGCTCCTGCTTTTCCCCCGTCCCCGTAACAACAGGAAAAAAAAGATTTTGATGTACCTGGGAGCACCGCGCACTGCATTTTGGTTTAATCCCGAGCGACTGGGTGGGCGTGAGAAGAGCCAAGCGAGCTTCTCTGCTGCTGCTACCCTTGGTGCTCCAGCCTCGAGCTCTGCAAGTTTGCAAAAGTGCCAGTGCGCAGCCCGTTCTCGCGTTCCAAGCGTTCAGGCTAAGCTGCAACTGTCCCTCTCACCAGTGCCATTTCCAATAACAGCGGCAGCAGCGGTGGGAACCATGGAAGTTACAGAGGCAGCTCCCCCACCCGAGAAGCGGCTAAAACGCTTCCACGGTTCCCGCCGCTGCCGCCGCTGTTATTGGAGACAGCGCTGCCGAGAGAGGGACAGCTGCAGCTCAGCCCTTCATTGAACACAATACAGAAGCCTGATGATGGCAGATGAGATTCTGCCAAAACGTTGCTACAACTTTAAAAGCATAACTATAATGACGTGTGAAAATACCCGAACAAAACTGAATAATATATAAATATAAATACAAATAATATATTTGTTTTCTTAAGTTTTCGCAGGTACTTACATGTATGGTATTCAGCTTTGTTCGGGTATTTTCCCATGTCATTGTACAACTACAATGACGTGGGAAAATACCCGAACAAAACTGAATACCATATATGTGTGTGTGTGTGTGTGTGTGTGTGTATGTATGTATATATATTATATGTAGGCAATTCCATCACTCCCCATGGATTTCGGTATTAACCCTATACTGATAATATCCAGCTCTATTTTTGTACCTACATTTTGCTTCTATCCAACCACTTCTCTAGGTATTCAAACTTTGCTACTATCACTGACTTGTCTTCCTTTTCCTTGTTTAAATATATTTGAAGTATAATTTCTTATCTTTTATTCTAAGGTCTCATCTCTTTGCTCACTGTCCCAATGTATTAATATATAGGTTGCAAATTCTCACCCCTGAAGAAGAAAAGGAGCTAGAGTTCAAATCCAGGCAGAACCCTTAGGGTCTAATTTACAAAAATAGTTATACAGTAATGTGACAAATGCAATGGATGGGTATGAACTAATAATCCTTCTCCCAGTTTCTCGAGAAATAAGTTAGATGAAAGTGCATGATATTGAGAAATACTGAGAGTAACCAACAATATGTTGTCTAATTTCCTAAGATATCTACCATTCTGAAAAGGTGATTATCTCACACAAGACTGTCTACCTCATATAAACTGTCTTCTATTAACTACTATCTCTAGTATAGAGATATTCATGTTTCTAATATTAACATGATTTATTAATATCCTTGCCTATTATGCAAAAGTTGTTTATTTATGTAGTTAAGAAGTATTATTTTTAAATAATTCTGTTCTTTATCCAATAATCCTTTTTTTCAGGAATGCAATAGGCTCTTCATCAATTTTACTCCATGTAACTTTTTCACTTCAGGGGTATACGTTTCCATTCAACTACTTAAATGTAATGAAGCTGTAAGGCTATAATCCTTAAATATTTTGTAACAAAAAATTTTTCTGCTGACTACAATCAGTAAAATGGGACTAAATGTTCAATTAAATGGCCCCAGATCTGTGAATTAAAATCATGAATTTGTTTTAACATGGATTGGAGAGAATTGCTTGCAACATTCAATTTCATGTAATCTGAGGATTTGCAAGCAGATCAACAGTCTGTTTCAAATTACCAAACTTTACTCTGTTTTTTAAATATTTCAAGTATTTGCATAAGCTATTATTTCAAGCAACTGAGTTTTTCCACTATTTTTCTAAAAACTTAAAATTATTCCAGTTTTCAGTGTTGTTTCCAGATTTGTAAGTTTACTAGCAGATAGCAATAACAAAAGCACTTAGACTTATATACCGCTTCACAGCACTCTCTAAACATTTTACAGAGTCAGCATATTGTCCCCAACAATCTGGGTCCTCATTTTACTGACCTCAGAAGGATGGAAGGCTGAGTTAACCTTGAGCCAATGAGAATCGAACTCCTCAAGTGAGCAGTGAGTTAGCCTAGCACCACCACAGGCAATGAAGAAACATTGCTTGATTTTTAGGAACTCTGGTATAAGATGTCAATGAACTGCTATTTAACTATGACGTTCAGGAGATTAAGCAAGAGTTATATCTTATTTGATATTCTCTAAATGGATAAAGGCAAGGGTCTCTTAAAGAGCAAGAACCTATCAAGATGGCTGTAGCAGAGTGAATTGTGCACTAACTTCAACAAAGTTGCACCTGCTTTAAGAAGTTTATTCACTAGTTGCTGTGACTTCTTACAAGGTTACAGGTAGTCCTTGACTTACAACTACAAATGGAGCCCAAAATTTCCATTGCTAAGCAAAATAGTTGATAAATGAATTTTGCCCCATTTTACGACCTTTCTTGCCACAGAGGTTTAATGAATCACTTCAGTCAAGTTAGTAACACGGTTGGTTGTTAAGTGCATCTGACATCCAGATTGACTTTGCATGTCAGAAGTTCGCAAAAGGTGATCACATGACCCTGGGACATTGCAACCATGATTATTACAGGCCAGCTGGCAAGTATCCAAATTCTGATCACAGGACCCATAGGGATGCTGTAATGGTTGTAAATGTAAAATGACACTTTTTCAGTACCACTGTAACTTTAAACAGTCACAAAACAAATAGTTGCAAGTCAAGTACTACCTGTATACCTTCTTTCAGGCTGGCAAACAAAGAGCAGCTACTTAACAAGCATATTGTATTCCTACAAGATTTGAAGTACTTTTTTTATCATTTTAAAATGAAATGTCCATATAGAAAAGATGCAATTCCTATTAGATTCATTATGTGATAATATAAATATGTCAATCCACATAAGTAATGTGCTTTGCTAATATGGTTTATTTTGTAATGCCAAACAATTATTAAAGAAAAAAATAGTAACCTTTCTAATAAGGATTTTTAAAACAAAAGTTGCATTCTGCGTCAGACTTTTAAAAATACTTATGCTACACTGCAATGAGAAGGCAATCTTCATCAATTGTGTAATAATTCACTTAAAATCAACTATAAGATAGTCACATCACTACCTTGCACAATTAAGTTACTCCATCCCAGCCACAAACCAACGCAAGAATTAAATGAAGACTAAAGACCAAGATAATATAGGGGTGAAATAATTATTTCATCATTTAGCAAAGATACATAAGCAGAACCCTACCCATGGAATTCAATGCCCTTCTCCAAAGGGCCCCATCTTGACTTATTGTCCGTCCCACAGATGACAAGGAATGAGTATTCTCATGCTACTGGTCATCCAGGAAGTATTTCCTCTGTCAGTGCTA